TATTTAGCTTTGTCAATGGTAATGCAGGTTACAATCATCGCTCTTGAAGATGTTCCCAAGACTCCATTCCGTGCTCCAGGTGCTCTAGGGATTATTCAATGGAAAGTTATGCTTTTTGGCCTAAAGAATGCTGGTGCCACTTATCAGAGAGCCATGAATTGTATTTTCCATGACTTAATTGGCGAATTTGTTAGAGGTATACATCAATGATGTGGTTATGAAGTCACATTCTTTTGCCGATCATCTTCGACATTTGACAACTTGTTTTGAGCGTATGTGTGGCTACAAGTTGATACTTAACCCCCTTAAGTGTGTTTCGATGTGACATCTGGTGTTTTCCTCGGATTTCTAGTTCATTCTAGAGGAATCGAAGTTGATAGTGAAAAGGCTAAAGCCATACTTGAAGCTAGACCTCCGCGCAACAAGAAAGAACTTCAAAGTTTAATCGACATAATTAATTTTTTACGCCGATTTGTGGCGAAGTTTTCGTCAAAGATTAAAGCATTTTCTCCCCTGCTGAAATTACAAAATATCACCAATTTTGTGTGGGACTCTGAACATCAACAAGGTTTTGAGGATATTAAGTTTGCTCTTAGTCATACACCAGTTATGGTTGCACCAGTTCCCGGCCGGCCCTTGAAATTATATATATCAGCCACCGAAGATTCTTTGGGATGTTTTCTGGCATAGGACGGACCAGGCGGTTGCGAGAGAGTTGTTTATTATCTTAGCAGAATGTTGACTACTACCGAACAAAAGTATCCAGCCATAGAGAAGTTGTGTTTAGCTCTATACTTTGCCGCCTCTAAGCTTTGCCATTATATGTTGCCTACGCTGGTCTGTGTTATCAATAAGATCAATTTGGTTTGATACATGCTTCACCGTCCTAATATGAGTGGTAGAATTGGCAAATGGATATTAGGACTCATGGAGTTTCAGTTTCAACACGTTCCCCAGTCGGCAGTTAAGGGACAAGCTTTAGCAGACTTTTTAGTGACACATCCCTCCGTGGATGATGATTGGTTGGAGATAGAGGTAGCGGCATTTCAAATTGATATCGCACCCACCGTACCATGGAAGTTTTATTTTGATGGTTCCGCCACATTTCAACGGTGCGGAGCAGGTGTGGTTATTTATTCACCTCTGGGCAAGGTACTGCGGATACGTGTACGGTTGAATTTCTGTGTCACTAATAATCAAGCCGAGTATGAAGGACTAATTTATGTCTACGCACTTTGATACATAATGGAGCACACAATGTAGAGGTCATCGGTGATTCTACACTCGTGGTTGGACACATGAAGAATACAATGAAATGGAAAGACGATGTCTTAACACAGTATACAGCTTTGGGTGACGAGCTTAAATCTTACTTTGACCAGATCACCTCCACTAATGTGTTGCGCCCTGACAACCAAGAAGCCAATGCCATGGCCCAATCTGCGTCTGATTATGTTCCCGAGGTATATTCATCTTGGACGTATGGTACTGTTGAATTCGATTTTCCCACTTATCATGAGCAAGCATTTGTCCCCGTTGATGCCATCCAGCCACAAGTTGACATTGGCCACTGGTGACATCCAATTATTCAGTTCCTTCTTAATCCAAATGTGCCGACAGACATCCCGACTAGACTTCGGGCCACACAATATGTTGTGTTGGATGGAGCTCTTTATCGCAAAACAGCCAATGAAATTCTCCTCAAATGCCTTAATCGCCCAGAATCCACTGTTATCATGTTAGAAACGCATAAAGGTGCATGTGGCGCACATCAAGGAGGAAGGAAAATGGCTTGGTTGATTCGTCGACACGGGTATTTCTGGCAATCTATGACGCAATATTGTATTGCTTTTGCTCGTTGCTGTACTGATTGCTAGTGTTATGGCGATATTCCACGAGTTTTGGCTGCACCCATGCAAGTAATAGTCAAGCCTTGGCCTTTCAGATGTTGGGCACTAGACGTCATTTGTATGATTCACACTTCTTCTTCTAATGGTCACCGGTACATACTGGTAGCCACCGATTATTTCACAAAATGGGTTGAAGCAGTGTCACTGAAAGATGTTGATCATAAGGCTGTTATCTAGTTTCTACAGAACATGTGTTGTATAAGTTTGGCATTCCTGAATCTATATTCACCGATCGAGCTCACTACTTTGTCGGCACGGAAATGCAAGAGTTTACTAAAGATGCTGGTTTCTTGCTTACTCACTCATCTCCATATTTTTGCACAAGGGAACGCTCAAGCAGAGGCTAGTAACAAGGTTATCAAGAACATCATGAATCGTTACGTATCAGACAATCCTAGGGCTTGGCATTCTCTGTTGCCACAAGTTCTATGGGCCTATCGCATATCTAAACGTGGCGGAACACATGTCTAAACGTGATGCAGTGGTACCAATTGAGCATTTGATTCTATCCCTTCGCGTCACAAGTTAGCATCCGATAGATTCCGTTGAGTATAGCTTGAGCATGCAGATTCAGCAAGATCCAATCGAGGAAATTTGGATTAATGCGGCCAAACAAATTGAGTATGAGTAGAGTCTTGTTATTAAACAGTATAACAAGCATGTACGACCAAGGACTTTTCAAGTTGGAGAAAAGGTTTGGAAAGCTCTCCTTCCCATTGGTCAACATGATCCTAAGTATGGCAAGTGGGCAGCGACTTGGGAGGGACCCTTTGTCATTCATCGCCACTTAGGACACAACGTGCATACATTGGCTACCTTAGATGGCAAAATCAGTGAAAGATCTATCAATGCTACCTATTTAAAGAAGTATTACTTGTCTCGCTAGGAACTGTTGGATCCACAACATCAAAATAACGCTATTTATGATAATATCATATCAAGTATTTCCACAAAAATCCAGCAAAACGAATACATCAATTCAGCAGCAAAGCAAACAGGGATAATATTGGCACAAGTCACCATATGTTGCACCCACACGCAGGTGGCTCGAATCAAGGCTTGTTTTCATCTTGATTACCTGCCACTGTGTCACTTGATTCCCCAGCAATGCCGCCAAGCACTGATTGCACCTCCTACGGATCTTCATCTTTTTTTGTTTCTTCCGTTGCATCTGGGGAGGGAGTTTCCGGCGGCACAGGAATGTCTTTTAATGCTCCTTTCATGAAATTCCACATCTTGGATACATCTGCAATGATAGGCTGAGCATTTTCGTAGTGGACATACTTTTCCTTGGTGTCTTGGGCACGGTCATCTCGTAGGCTATTTGCTTCAGTACACTGTTGAGCCATCTTTTGATACAACAGATCTGCCTCTTGACACTGTTCTCAGACGTTCTTCAAATCTGCTTCTAGTGCCGCCTGTTGCGCCGCCAACTCCTTTGCGTGAGCCGTAGTTGCTGCTGCCTATTCCACCAGGGTTTTTGCCGTCTTCTCAGCTTCCAGATGTGCCATAGTTGCATGATTGTAGTCTTCCACATGTTTCACGCAGATTTCACAGCTAATCTTCCTTTGCTCAAAGTTTGCCAGAAACAAGGCAACTGTAGCTTTTACAACATCCAACAAATCACTTCCTTGAATGGTTTCCAACGAACGTTTTAGTGATTGGTGATACATTGCATGCACCTGTTCTGCGTTGATCTACCATTCAAAGACTTACCTCTATTACACCTTTGACTGGGGGAGCCACCATACACCATTTTTCATTCCTATTTTTGGGCTACTGCTTATTAGGCCAATTCATTGTTAGTCCGATGGATATTCAAGACACACCTTATTTGGTAAAATGAGCTGTGCCTTAGGGGGCTTTATGTTACCACCGATTTTGATTAAAATCGAACCGGCCCAACAAAAGTGGTGAATCGGCCCAGCTTTGCAAGAAATCCAGGTCCGACACGGAGAAATAAAGTCCATTCCCGAATCAGTGAAGGAAAAGCGTCAAAGGCCCGACACGACATTGAGGAAGCTAAATCCAAGTCCAAGTGGAGTTGCAATTAAAGAAGGAAACAAGAAATCAGAAATAAATTTCAATTGCAACTCTAAATCGGCAACACCGAATTGGAATAGGAATCGGAGATCGCACCGCCTTAAACGATTACCGATCCCTATATAAAGAGAGAAAGAGGAGCGACACAACACACAACTCATCATGAACACAAATACAATACAAGCTGCAAAACCATTTTCTTTCTTTTAGCACCCTTTTGTTTATTTTCGATACTTTCTTACAAGTATTTTAATTCTTTACTTATTGTATTTCGTATAAAGCATATCAATTTACTAGCAATTCAGTTTTTATTCAAGTTATCACAAGTTTTACACCCTTGTTTTCACACCTAGCCGAATGTTTGCACTTCATGAATTATACACTTTCGTTTGATATTGTTTGCAAGCGTGCGTCAGTTTCTATTGATTATTTTCGCACAAACATTGTCTATACCATTTTCTTCCGTTTTACTTTTTTTTTCTTCCAAGTGTTTTGCAGATCTTATTCGTACTGTTATACTCCTGTTGACGGGTTTTTCATATACTTTATTCACCTACGGTTGATTTCCCTTTCTGTTTGTGGTTTTGATGGTTTCGGAGGAGTTGGAACATATTATTAGCCGGATTTCACCTCGGGAATGTGAATCTACTAGACATTCAACCAGATCTCTGAATCCTACTCGTCTTGATCCATTCCTCACTTTTGTTGGTGAACTCCACTGCCCTAGAGCTATCTCCTCATGATGCAATTGTAACGCACTGCCGTAACATCTGATCAGTTCGCTATGGCTTTTCGATAAAGCCAATTGGGGAGAATCTAGTCCACTTCAAGTTTAATCATCAAATAAATCGGGCTTGGGTTTTACATGGTGAACCGTGGTTGCGTCGTCGAAAATATCCTCTAGTTCTGAAACCATCGAATGATCTGGATGTCGACTTTGATCGCTGCCCGTGGTGGATCCAACTGCACGAATGTCCTCTGAATCTGATGAATGAAGACTTTGCTATGTATGCTGGTAATCTTATTGGTGAATTTATGGAAGTATATATGGATGCGGATCATAACTGCATTGGTCGATTTCTTCGTCTGAAAGTGAATATCAACATAAAGCAACCACTGATACGTGTTCTTCACTTCGATCACGAAGGAAAGGAAATTAAGATTCCCTTGCAGTATGAGAGATTGGCTGAATGGTGCTACCACTATGGTATTATTGGGCATGTTGAATATGGTTGTCCAACAAAGTCTCCAAATTCCGGCGGTTCTTCAAGTCCCCCAGTCCCCCTGAAGATGGTCCATGGCTCAAGGCTAAAGGATACAAGAATCCATTTGTTTCATGGAGGCCAGCCACAGCAAGACCCTTTCCATGTTTCTAAAGATTCGGATGAAGAAGTAGCTCCCTATCATGTCCGTCAATCCCACAATGTTACTTTTGGCCAAAGTAGAAACCGTAGACTTTCATCTAACCGTCGCTCTTTGTCAACATTTCAAGCCTCCCCTTCTATTGAGCATCCACTCCCGAACCCTAGCCAAATTCTTCCATACCAGCCTTCTTCATCTCTGAATCCTCCTCTTATCCCTAATCCTTCTCCCACTACTTCAAAACAGTGTCCCGTGTATCCTTCCTCTTCATCTAAGCTCTCTCCTCTTTCAACTAATCACCAATCTTCGTCGCCAGCTTCACCAAATCCGATGATCCTTCCTGATACGGAGTGTATACTTCCAAGTATAATCCCTGCTTCTGAGTTTACAAACCCTAGTACAATTGACGCTTCACCTATCCCTACTCCTTTGTCAATACCATCCTTGGCCTGTACTTCTGACTTGCAAATTACTCACTCATCGATTCTGCCTATAACATCACCTCAACTCATTGTCAATTCCCCCAAAAAATCCGATTAGCCTTCCCAACAAACACCTTGTTCTGCCAATTCAAGCGTCAATTGCGATACCACTCTTCACAGTGAATCTGTTATACCTCTGCCTGATTCCCAAACCCTCCCATCTCCACACTCTCAAGTAATAGCCCCTGTGATCATCTCCTCTGAACCTGTTACTCCTGTTCTGACTAAAAATGATGAATCTCCCTTTGCTCCTCTCCTTAGCCCTTACCTTGTGAATGTTCCCATGAGTTTGGACACTCCTGCTAGGAAAGTAGCTCGTCGATCTAAATTGGTGAGAAACAGAATTTTTCAAAATGATTCTATTCATGAACCCCCCCAATTTGTCAATCAAGCGAAAAGGTGTTGTTGATGAGCTTGATTTTAGATGATTGATGTAGAATTGATTATTAAACGGTCCTGTACTGATTCTATGGATGGGGGTGTGGCGGAGGTTGGGTTAACAACTTAACATCCCAATCCCACCCAGCTCAATGAGTATCCTAAGCTGAAGTTGCCGGGGATTGGGGAGTTCCTGGAAATTTGAAGAATTGGGCAAGATTGTCCGTGAAAAATCCCCCATAATTCTCTTTCTCTGTAAAACCAAAAGTGATCATAATCAGATTGACAGATTAAAGAAGAAGTTTGATATGTTTGGTATTAATGTTGATTCTGTTGGAAATTCAGGAGGTTTGACGATGCTGTGGCGGAAGGAAATTGTGAATTTAAGATCGTACTCAGCCCGTTTGATTAATGTTGAAGTGGAGTTTTATGGACATGATCTTCGGGTAACTGGTATCTATAGACAGCCGGCTGTTTCTTTAAATCTTGAAGCTTGGAATAATATCGTTCCTTGCAGGATCATTCCAGTAAACCATGGCATGAAGTCTTAACTCAAGATGAGTTTCAGGGTTGTCAACCTCAAGCTGATTGGCAGATCAACTTACTGCGTGAAATACTTGATCACCTTAATCTCTTAGACATGGGTTTCGAGGGCTATAAGTTTACTTGGCAGAGGCTTAAACAACATCCTAGAACCCAAAGAGCGCGGCTGGATCGGTCAACTTGCAACTCAAGTCTGTTGGATCTTTTTCCATGGAGTTTTATCTTAGCATGTTCCAATGTTTGTCTCGGATCATATGCTCCTGCACATTCAATTGCGCGATAGAAATCCATCAGCAAATGTTCGACGCCTTTCGAAGCGCATTGGATCAAAGTGGCTAATTGCGCAAGAGTTTTTGAAGACCATTGGAATTCAGATTTAGGGTCACTTGGAGAGAAGTTTGATAATGTTCATGTTGGTTTAATGAATTGGAGTAAACATCATCATTCGGACTTCCAGAAAAGAATTGAGTCTCTCAAAAAAGAAATTATGTCCTTGCAAAGAGGCCGAATTGATGATCCACAGAGAGCTAAGCTTGGTGAGTTAGAGAAGGAATTAGACTTGCTGTAGGAAAGGGAGGACTTAAAGTGGAGGCAAAGGTCTAAACAACATTGGTATGGTGACGGTGATCAGAATATGAAGTTTTTTCGTGCTTTTGCAAATAAAAGAAGGTTGGTAAATCATATCTCTAGTCTTAAGGATCATACGGAACATTGATGCAAAGAGACTAAAGACTTGGAGAAAATAATCATTGACTACTATGGCTCTATCTTTGCCTCATCTAGCGCTCTTGAGAATAAAATTCAGCAAGCAGTTAGTAGGGGTATCCCAAAAGTGACAATGGATATGAACGATCTATTAATGCGAGCCCACACAACAGATGAGATTCTCAAAGCGCTTAAGGAAATGACACCTTTTAAATCTCCTAGTCCGGACGGTATGAGTCCTATTTTTTTCTAAAAATTCTGGAATATTGTGCAAAATGACGTGACATCCTTTGTGCTTAATTTTTTGAATTCTGGTGTGTTTGATCATCATATGAATTGTACCCATATTGCTCTTATCCCAAAAGTGAAAAATCCAGATTTGATCTCACAATTCTGTCCCATCTCTTTGTGTAACGTAGTCTATAAATTATGTTCTAAGGTCATTTCGAATAGGCTTCGTTCACTTTTACCTTCCATTATTTCGGAGTCTCAGTCCGCTTTCATTTCTGATCGTCTTATCACTGACAACATCCTTCTAGCTTATGAAACTCATCACCACATGAAAATTCGTTCACAATGTAAAAAAGGCTTAATGTCTATAAAATTAGACATGAGCAAATCTTTTGATCGTGTGGAATGGTGTTTTTTACGTTCTGTATTATTGGCCTTAGGTTTTTGTGATTCTTTGTTAATCTCATTAGTGAATGTATCTCTTCAGTTAGGTTTTCTTTTATCTTAAATGACCAGCAGTTTGGTAATCTAACCCCTGAGAGGGGCATCCATCAGGGTGATCCTCTTTCTCCATATTTTGTCATTATTTCCTCCGAGGTGCTCTCATGTTTATTACATCACTTACAAAGCTGTGGTAGAATTCATGGAGTAGGTGTCCATCAAAATGCTCCGAAGATTTCACACTTGTTCTTTGCGGATGATACTTTGCTATTTGGGGATGCAACTGAGAATGAAGTATACCATCTTCGCTGGGCTATTCACTTGTATGAACGAGTTTCGGGCCAAAGGATTAACTTGGACAAATTAGGTGTGCTTTTTAGCCCTAATACAGACGTGAAAACAAGAGCTTTCATATATTCGATCCTAGGTATTTCAGAAGTTAACAGTCACGGTAAGTATCTTGGCTTAACTTTGGCTGTTGGCAAATGTAAAAGGAGGTTTTCGCTAGTATTAAAGATAGGGTTTGGCAGAAAATTCAAAGTTGGAGTGCTAAGTCCTTGTCTCGGGCTAGTAAAGAAGTGTTAATCAAGTCTGTCATCCAAGCAATTCCTTCATATGCAATGTCATGCTTAATGTTACTTGACAATGTGCTGGATGAATTACAATCCATGGCCGGTAGTTATTTCTGGGGAGATTCTGATCAGCGAAGGAAAATTCATTGGTCCTCTTGGAGTTCAATGTCTCATAACAAGCAAAATGGTGGCCTAGGTGACGATACCTGGATTTGCACCGCCGGTATAGGGTGGAACTCCAACTAGGGTTTCCTGCAAAACAGAGCCTCGGGCGTCTCCCGAGGGTAGACACTCCGAAGCTTAAGTTAGAAAAGTAGGGTTGCTTGTATGATGATATGATGGTTGAGATAGCGTACCTTTAGTGTGGAATAAGGGTCCCTATTTATAGGCTTGGGAGAAATCCGATTCCTATTAGGGTTAACAATAATAGACCGCCACATCGGGAAGGCCTCGACCCCAAGGCCAAGTAGTGGGCCGACCCAGTGATGGTGATGAATCTGGACTCGCCAAGTGCCCCTGTCAAGTGTTAATTATGCAAAATAAACAAGACTTGACACTTAAATAAATCTGACCTGGCCCATATGAAACAAATAAGCTTCGGCCCAACCAAACTGTAGCTGTCCGTGGGCGAGGACCCGATCCGGGAAGGCAACCCGTTTCATTTGAATCTCACCCGAACGGAAATTATGCCCCACTAACACGCACGTTTCCCAAACGACGGCTGGACAATTATGGGTGCCTTGGATTTCGGCCACGATGTCGGGTCGTGGTAAATAGAGCGTCTCCTAATTGTTTAACTGGGAGAAGAGCCAAGGACTTTGGCCATATGGTTTTTTTTTCACTGAACCCAGAAGCCTCCATATTCTCTTATTCTGGTGTATCTTCTTTGTCATCAAATACCACCACCAGACAGAGTTGGAATTATCCCTCCGACAGGCTCCAACCAAAGAGCATTATCTCATACGTAAGTCTTCTAACCTCTGGACACTCTTATTATTGTTTGTTGGTGCGTATATTTTGCTTTGCCTGAACTTGGTTAGACTTGCGTATACTAGGATAGGCATGGCGTCTCAAACGGTTCCCGATTTTGCATCGACCATAGATTCTGCTGAAAAGGCTGATTTTATTGCTGAAAAATATAACTTCCCCATAGATCTAGATTATCGAGCTCCCGTAGGGACTGAGAGGGCTAACAATCCACCAGAGGGGGCAATCACTATATACGAGAGGTCGATGTTTCTCGGCCTACGGTTCCCCCTTCACCCTCTGTTCGGTAGGTTAGTCCAACATTATAAGATCCCGCTTGCTCGATTTACTCCGAACTTAGTCACTGCCGTCCTTGGTTTTGTGAAGCTTTGTCAAATAAAGAGGATAGAGCCTCGATTGTTGGCATGGAGATACTTTTTAAAAGTCTGTGTTCCCTCGACCAAGTATAAGGATTGGTATAACGTGAAGACCAACGTTTCCTCCAAAGCGAAACGTATAATAGAACTCTTCGACGGTGCCCCATCATGGAAGCCGAATTACCTTTTTGTTTCGGCCCCCAATGATGTTTGTATGGCATGGGACTATCGGGAAGCTCATGAGATGGGCGGTGTGGAAGACACCTGGTCTAAACACGATAAGGCCAGGATCGAGAAGTACAGGGTGGATATCAACTCCCTGGAATCTGTCGAGGACATCCTAGGCTACACGGCAGTGCAACACTACGTCCCACCAGTTCACGTCGAGAAGAGAAAAGGTACTGACTTGCTATGTGCTTTGTTTTTGTTTTTAGGTCATGTCCTCCAGCAAAGATACCGTTGGGTTGTTTGGTAATACCAAGATTTTTGAAATTATAAATTCAGATGATGAGGGCTCTTCCAACAAGGTCACCAAAAAGAGGAAGCTGAGAAGATTGGTGAAGGCGTCCGACGCAGGTGCTAAGGCAAAGAAGAAGAAGACTCCCATCCCCGAGGGGGTAGAAAAGCAGGTCGAGGACCCAGTCCCGATTGAGGTGGACCAGGAAGACCATCCGCCGAAGGCTACCTCCCCAATCGTTGAAGAGGTGGAGGCTCCCATGCCTGAGGACAAAGTACCCGAGGTGATTCCAGTGACGGAGCGGCACCCGGAGTGGTTCAAGACTCTTAAAGTTACTCTCGACAAGAAGAGCACCGAGGACACCGACGGTTCCTCGACATTCACAGCC